CATATCTCTGAAAGCTCTCTCTAGGGCTCTGCTATTCAAAGTGTGGTGCATGGACCAGCAGCAGCTGCTTTGCCTGGGAGATTGCTAAAAATACACATTGTCAGTCACTTCTCCCACACCATACCAGATCAACTGAATCAGATTATACAGTTTAAAATGATCCTAGCTGATTTATGCTCACATTAAAGTCTAAAAAGTATTGCTCTTGGATGACCTAAATCTCAGGATGTTCTACTTAAATTGAGGACAAATATTTAATTAATGAAATTGGGCTGATTGCTTTCTGTCTTTCCCCTACCATCAAGGGAGGTAGGACAGGGAGGTTCTCCATTTTCCACTTTTTGCTAATGTTTAGATCATGTTGCTCTAATAACAGCTATATCTATGGAAATATCTACCCTTATTTGGGGAGAGGGTAGAGGAGGATATTTGTCCTGCCTTGAGCTATTTAACATCAACTACACAAGATAACCCAATGCTATACTTACCTGCTTCTAGTCTTTTTAACTGATTCCATTTAAATCTGATTATTAATCATTGCTGTGATCTAAATTCATGTGTTGAAAACTTAATCTCCAATGCAACAGTGTTGGAAGGAGTAGTCTTTTGGGGAGCTGTTTAGTTCACGAGGGCTTCACTTTCATGAATGGATTGGGGCCCTCATAAAAGAGCTTGATGCAGAGAGTTATTTCCTTTTTGCCCCTTCCATCTCCCTTCTGCCAAGTGAGGAAAAAATTTTACTCTTCTCTGGAGAATGCAGCATCAAGGCGCCATCTTTGAAGCAGAGAGCAGCCCTCACTAAACATCCAAACTTGCTAACATTGAGATCTTGGAGTTCCCAGACTCAACAATGGTAAGATATAAATTTCTGTTCCCACCACTCCAGTCTGGGCAACAGAGTGAGACTCCAACTCAAAAACAAAAAAAAAAATTCCTGTTCCTTATAAATTACCCAGTCTTAGGTACTTTGTTATAGCAATACAAACACACCAAGATAATCACCTACCATACCCATAATATATTACATCAATCAGGCTTCAACACAAAGCCTGATGGAACATCAGCAGCATGAGGGAAAGGAGATTGAATGTATAAGGGAACAGATGGAATATTGGATGGGGAAATAAATTGGTTGAACTCTGGTTCTGAAGGAGAATGGCCATAGTTCTAAGCTTAGTGTTCAAGGTTGGAATGACACAATATCAAAGATCTTGTGAAAATAATCTAGGCTCAAGCTAGAGTGCCAGTTTTAGTGACTAGACTTCAGAAACAATATGGCTAAATTGAGACTCAGTATGTTTGTGGATGCACAAGGACTGTCCAAAGCAACATATGCTGTTCATATGCTGTTGTTATCAGGAAATGCAACTGTCCTAGAATTATTAATATGGCTTTTGAGCACCACTCTAGATGCTGTGGGAGCTTTCGCTTATTTTTAAAAAATGTATCTAATGTATTTATTAACAATTTATTACATGCCAAAATTTTTCCTCCATGTTTGGGTTATGCATTCTGAAAGAGCTTATAAAAGAGTAGAGGAAACAGAGTGTAAACAAATAAAAGCCACGAACTAAAGAGAAAGATTCATAGGTAAATGGTGTGGTTACAAGAAGGTACATTCTGTCACCCTGGGATGGTAAGTTGAGGTGGTGGTTAGAAGAGGTTTTATAACTAAGATGTCCATATAACTAAGATTGTCCAAATGAGCACACTTCAGGGAGATAAAGGGGGTGGTATTTACAAATACACTGAAACAAGAGGAGTTAGTAACTCTTTTGTGCAAGCATATTATCTTCCAAAGGGTCAAAGAGAAAATTCTAAAGGGTTTTGTTGAAGGTGACATAGGGTAGCAGTTATGGTCCACAGTTAGATTCCCAACTTTTGTAATTACTTGCTGTGTGATGTCAGACAAATTATTCAACTACTATCTACCTCAGAAGGGAGAAATGGTACCTATAATTTTAGGGTTGTTGTCAGGATTTGGTGAGTAAAATTTATGTAAAGTACTTGTAAGAATGACCAGCTGACAGTAAGTATCATGTATATGTATTTTACATCAATAGCATACGGATGAAGAAATAATGGGATAAGAGGGCAAAGGGCTTCCAGGTAAAAAATTGGATATCTGTATGTACTTAAAGGCCACTTATGAAATGAGAGTAAGGCCAGGAATTTATCTGCTTCATTCCTTTTATTGACTGCACAGCAATTTTTAGTATACATGTATCATATTAATTGGGATTTCCTTCAAAGTACTGCATAAGAGACCTCAGTTGCCTATAAACAATAGACTTTTATATCTTACTCCAAAGTCTTCAGATTGAAAGAGGCAACTGTGCTTCAGGCTTTGGGTCAAGTTTAGGTCTGCTCTCATTCTGTATTTTTCATTCTGACTCCTGACTAAGGGACCATAGCTGTGTGGACTGAACTTTTCCCATGGCAATGGCTAAAGCTCAAGAGAGGGCAGACCAAATGATCCAAGCTCATTCTAAGCTTTTATTGGAAGCAGCATTTGGTACTCTTGTTCACAAACTGCTGCCTAATGCAAGTTTAACATCAATGGAATGGAGATGTACATTCTGTTGGCAGGGAAGCCATGGCAAGGATAGGTAAAGAAGAAAGATCTGAGAGCAGATAATACTGTCTGAATAACTACCAAACACAATTAACTAAGCTTCTTCCATTAGTATATATAAAGATTATTTCTAATTTCCACTAGCATAAACAATAGTGTATTGAACATAAAATATGTGTATTCTTATATATAATGCATATCAACTCATTGTATATATTTATTCTGTGAGATGAGCTCCCAGAAGAAGAAGGGTATCATCTAAATACAAATTTTTAAAATAGAATCACCCATTTGGTATTATGAATGCATTCATTTCCTCTCCAGCCCATCTCTCCATCCTAAGAAAGCTCTTTAATGAGGATTACTACAAGAGGCTACAGTGCTAGTCAGGCTAATGAAATAGTAAAGAATAGAGAGGATCAGTATTGGAATTGCCACCTAATGATGGAGAAAGGAGGAGGTGGCCAAGGAGGCAGAAAACATAAAGTAAGAGGAAACACTGGAGTTCGGAAGAAAAATATCATGTATGTAAGATAATTCCTGGCAAATGGGAAGAACCAGTTAACTTATAAAGTTCGTGTTATTTATTGCAGCACTATGTACAATAGCAAAAGCATGGAACCAACTATGCTACCCATCAAAAGTGTACTGGATAAAGAAAATGTGGTACATATATGATAGAGGTATTATACAGCCATAAAGAAGAACAAAATTATGGACTTCTCAGCAACTTGCATGAATTTAAAGTCATCATACTCAGTGGTCTTTAACAGAGACAAATAACTGAATACCACATGTTCTCACTTATAGGTATGTCCTGAACATTTATTGCAATACTACAAGAGAGGAATTGGCAGTAGCGGGACATTGCCAGGGGTGGGGGGAAGGGCACGTAACATCATTAAGAGTACTTGATTCTAAATCAGAGAAAGTGAGGACCAGTTGGAGGCTCAAATGTCACCTGCATGCAGATTACTTGTGTACCTAATCCTGACTTGTGCCCCACATCTTTACAATATAATGAAAATTAAAAAAAAATAAAGTTGGCGTTATTTCTCTGTTATTATTATTTCATAAATTCCAGGACCCCCATTACCTTTGAAAAATTCATTATCATCATGTAACCAAATTCTTAGGGAATGTGGCTTCTCAAATATATATCTATATCTATTTCTACATATATCCATATATCAGTAGCTTATAACAACAGGCATTTATTTCTTAAATAAATCATATGAATTTTGGCTGAAACTTATTACATACAGGTTAAAAGAAATCCTTCTTCTAGCATGTTACACAAAATTACCACAATTTAGATCTTTCTCAACTCAGTGTCATAACCAGTCATATTCTGTAAGAGAAAATTTATTCAGACAGAGGAACTAAATCAGTCTACACTTGCAGTTTCTTACCCACATCCTGGGAGGCCCCTGTCAGATTTTTCTTTTGATCCTATCTATACCCATGAGACTGAACAATCAACATTTTAATAGACATCGTGTCTCTTACCCCTGTTCCCACGTCTAGAATTGATTGGTCAGCCAGCACCCACTATTAGATGAGCTCTGCATATCAGCTACAGAAAAGATCAAGAGCATGCTGAGGCAAAAGGAGTTTAAGTTATCCCTGAATGGTGCAGCTAAAGACGGTGAAGAAAAAGACAGTGATTAATTCTGGAGCATTTGTACCTTCTGACTCCACATAGTGGATATTGTCATTGTGTCTCTCGTCCCATATCAGAATAGTTCTCCCATTTCACCTTCTTATATAGACTTACAGAAAATCAAAGCATCATTAATGCTCTCCCACTTTCTCTGGCAGCCAGAGTATAAATAAGTGACAAATTCTTGGACAGATACACCACTTAATTTGAATCTAGAGGTAGTGATGAAAAGAATAAGAAGTGGGAAATTCTTTCTGCAGGCGGTAATATTCAGTTTTTAGCTTCTATGAGCTATGCTCAGTGACTGTTGCTGGCAATGTTGATGGAGGTATGAGCTGCAGTGAACAGTTTGGTGACTACAGTGGTATCCTCATCAGACTATTTCTGGGATATGACTTTGACTGTGGTTCTAACTAAATGACTTTTCTTGTTCTTCTCAATATTTTTTGGCCTGGTTCATGGAAATTCATGAACCCCACATGTCTTTTCAATAAATGAATTTCCTCCACAATAAGTCAGAACCAGTTTCTGTTGCCTGCATCTAAGCATCTGAGAGTTACAACCCTAATGTTTAATTGCAGGCCCAGAGAACACTCTCAGCCATAGCTAAAGCAACACTAGTGTTTTAGATTAAGTACATGGTGGTTCCCTTTTGTTTCACATGCTTTGGGTTTAAGAGATATCTTGGAACAATATACACTGAGAAAATTTATGATATGTACTTAATTTAGATATTTCTGGAACATTCGAAAAGAAGATTTGTAAGATACAAAAATGTTTCCCCAGAATTATAGATAAAACTGTATTTTGGGGTTTTATCTAAAGAAAGGAGTCTCTATTCTACTTATCCATTTCTTGAAGGCTAACTTGACATCTCTATTCCTGAGGCTGTAGATGAAAGGGTTCAGCATGGGAGTCACCACAGTATACATGGCTGTTACAGTACGACTCTTGATCACTGAATAGCTGGAAAGAGGCCGGAAGTAGACCCATGTGAGGGTGCCGTAGAATATGGCAACCACAGTGAGGTGGGAGCCACAGGTAGAAAAGGCTCTCCACTTGCCCTTGGCTGAGGGGATCTGGAGGACCACTGATATGATGCAGGCATAAGATGCCATTATGAAGGCCAGAGCTCCACTGATGACAATAACACCTTCTGTGTGAATCATCAGGGTGTTGAGGTGAGTGCTGGTGCAGGAGATCTTCATTAGAGGGTAGAGGTCACAAAAGAAGTGGGGGATCTTGTTATCTGCACAGAAAATCAGTCGGCCCATGAGAAAGGTGTGCAGCAGAGCATGAAGGTTAGAGAAGACATGGCACATGGCCACCATCTGCACACACAGTATTCTGGTCAGGATCATAGGATAGCGGAAAGGATGGCAGATAGCAATATACCTGTCATAGGCCATCATAGCCAGGATAAAGTTTTCCATAGCTGCAAAGCAAATGAAGAAATAAGTCTGGGCTAAGCAGCCAATGTAGGAAATGGCCTTTGTAGGGGAGAAAATGTTCTGCAGCATCTTGGGGACTGTGGTGGAGGTGAAGCAAATGTCTGCCAAAGCCAAGTTACTGAGGAAGATGTACATGGGGGAGCGGAGGTGTGGAGCAGAGATAATCAGTGTGATGATGACAAAGTTGCCAGAAATGTTGATTGTGTACATGAGTAGAAAAAGAAGAAAGAGTGGGATCTGCTCTTCTGGGCAGGTAGAAATGCCCAAGAGAACAAAATGGGACACACTGGTCCAGCTGGTGTTTTCCATCTGTTGCCATAAAAACAAAAATAATTATGTTTATAGACTTGAACATATTAGCAGGATGTCTAGTTACTGCTACTGCTGTACCCAGAATAAACTATACATGATGCTGATAGGAGGATCAAGTGTTCACTAGTTTTACACAATAACATGGATATTTAATTATCATCAAGATCATTGCTATCACCATACTTAACATTTACAGAGCATTTTCTTCGAAACAGAGACTTCTCTGTATTACCACGTTTAAATTAATAACCCTATGATACAATAACTATTAATTCAGGTTTACAAATAGGAAAACTGAGGCATGAAAAGTTTAATCTCATAAAGGGCAAAATTTACATTTGTCATGTTTATCTGGCTTCAAAGCCTATACTTTTAGCCACCATATAACATGACTTCCCAAATTAAAATCAAGACATCTTGTTCATGGTAATAAGACCTGTTGATGAACTATGTAGCCAAGGAATCTGCCCACTGAAAGGGGATGTCGTAAGTCACTTGGTTCAGCAATTTTTACTTTGGAAGATGCATACACTTGTTGATACCCCAAAAGTTCTCAGAGTACCTGTGCTTCAGGAGAATGCATTTCTAGATTCCTTATTTCTTTTTTCTAAATTTATCTTTGCTTCGATATGTCACTTTATGCATTATTCTATCTCCCATATAACAAATGAAAAAACCAAATAGCAGTAGAATTGATGCTGATTTTGACTTATTCTGGTAATAGGTAATGCTCATTTCTACATACATGAACTAGGAAAACCAGTGTTACATTAGATGCCTTCAATTAAAACTTTATTATTTAGGTTTAATAATTACTTTCAAAATTTGTAATATATTGCTCTATGAAATTACCATTTTTTTTTTGAATTGGAGTCTCACTCTGTCGCCCAGACTGGAGTGCAGTGGCCGCTCCCGGCCACCGCAGCCTCGACCTGCTGGGCTCTGGCGATCCTTCCGCCTCAGCCTTCCAAGTAGCCGGAATTACAGGCATGCGCCACCACGCCCGGCTGATTTTTTGATTTATTGTAGAGATGAGGTCTCACTGCCCAGGTCTCGAACCTGCGGGCTCAGGCATTCCACTCACCTCAGCCTCCCAAAGGCGCGGGATTACAGGCTGAGCCACCGAGCCCGGCTTGAAATTACCATTTTTAAAAGTCAAAATAAGTGAACATTGGCAACTTTATATAATTGAAGCTAATATCTACATAATTTTGGTCAGTTTACTACTAATAATTGTACTACAATAAGAACTCAATTCAGACAATTCATTGATTATTTAAAACTTAAAATTTTATGGTCACAAAAAATTAAAAATAACTTTAATTTTATGCTTTCTTTAATTGTGCAGAGTAAGGAATTATAAAAGGCTTTCCTGCGTAAAAATGTATTATAATAGGATACCATTTGCATAAGAGATAAAGAATGGAAATACATTTTTAAATGGAAAAGGAATGTTATAAAACTTATAGTTATTAAGGATGGCCTTGTTCTTAAATTTTAAAAAATGATGATATGATTATCAAATCACTGTGATATTTAGATGCCATTGAATACACATTAAGAAATAATGTAAAGTTTTGTTGTAAAAGTATAACATACCATATATCATTATAGTTATTTAAATATCTGATAAATAATTTTATATGCCTATTTTTACAAGTGTATAGATTTAATTAGAGACTTTATGAGCAAAAACTATAAAGATCATATATTTAACCCAAACTCTCAATTGATGTTCCTTTTATAGGATCCTAGAAAAATGAACACCTTCATTGGCAGAAAATGCTAGTTGTCAGAATTTTTTTAATAGGAGAAGCTAAAATATAATTAACTCTCACTCTATCCACTGGAATGAGGTTGGTTCTGGGAACTCACAGAACAAGCCTATTTTTCTTCAATACGAATGCTTTTGAGAAATCTAAATATTCATCACCAAAGGCAGCACTGTGCAATGGTTAAAAGCCCAGCCTTAGTTTTCTCTTCTGTAGAATGGGAGTAATAATAGTACATTGCTCTTAATTTATTGTGAGGATTAAATAAGAGTCTCTGGTTCCTGGTAAGTATTAAGTAAATGCTGACAATTTTTAAAATAAATTTTTCAGTCTTGTTAAAACACAGTCTTCAAGTTTTTCTGCCATCCAGTTATCTCTACTGTGAACCTGTTCCACTTTTCTGTCCTTAAAATGTGGTTCCTAAGAAAGAAAAAAAAAAACATGGTTCCTAGAACTAAGCAACATTCTATGTCTGGTCTTTCATTGCAGAGTAGTTGTAATGATTTTGTCTAGTCATAAATAACGGATACTATTACAAGAGTGTAATATTTGCTTATGGTCTCTCTGTTAAGGTAAGATTTGCATACAGATTTGAAGTGTATTGTGGATGAGTTTTGATAGATGTATACATCTGTATAACACAGATGCCTATCAAGATATAGAACAGTGTCATCACTCCAGAAAGTTGTCTCATGCCTCTTCCCAGTCAATTCACTCTCCAAGACAATCATTGTTGTAATTATTTTTTACCAATGGTTAATTTTCCTGATATAACTTTTTATAATTTTCATATAATTAAAATAATGCAGTATTAAAAAAATAAACAAGTAGATTTTTTGAGCTGAGGATCAGAGTTGGCAGTCCACAAATAAACTGTGTTTATGACTATTCACAGAATACTTAGATTTTGCAATTTGTTTATTGGGAGAAAAGTGCAAGCAATTAAGAAATGTCCCTACATAAGGTACTTTTATATATATCATCTTGTATAATCCTTATAGTAATGCTAGGACATATCTTGTTGTGTGTCCCTACAACAATCACTTATTATCCTTATTTCACAAATGACAATACCAAGGTTAAGGGAGGTGAAGTGATTTGCTTGATATAACTTTGTATTCAGTTGTGGCTGAATTTCACATTTATGTTTGGATACCTTGAGTGCTGATACAGACCCGACTACTCATTTCATTTATTTAGCTTTTTCTTCACAGATTTGGATTTATTTATCACCCTGATCTGTCTGCTTTCATGCATCAAGTTAAAAGATGCCACATGGTTGCAAATCAAGAGAACAAACATTCATTTTTCTATTATAAAATGTGGCTGTTCAGAAAATGATATTAAATATCCTGAATGAATTTAAATATGGATGATAATGAATGAAGACTAAAAGGGCTAGCCACATTTATTGAGCACTTGCTATATATCAGGAATTATTCTAAGAGTTTTATATACGTTTTTGATGTGATTACGGTAATTTTGTGTTATATAATCTCTACTTTGTAGATGAGGATATTGAAGCTCTGAGGGGTTCTGTGACATGTTCAAGATCCCAGAATTTGCAAGTGGTAGAACTTAAATTTGAATTCAGCTCTGTCTGACCTCAAAGCCTATGCTCTTAACGATGGCACGATGCCACCTTTTAAGTTTTCTCTCACTATTCCAGTTTCTAGTCCAGAATAGACATTCTAAATTTTAGATCACGAAACTGAGGACCAGAATTAACTTCCTCAAGGTGGCAGAGAGTAGGGTTCAATCCAGATTGATCATACATCTGTCTAACTCAGAAGCCTTCTGTACCTAATCCATTTGACACCCATGTTACATAGTCTTCCTGTGCTTGTTTTTCTCCATTTAGCATATTATTGTGATTGTTTTCTTTTTTTTTTTTTTTTTTTTTT